TCTCCAGCAACCAGATCGAGTTCAAGGCAACCGCTGGCGAGTTCTCCTCGATCGCAGACGAGCTCAACAACGGTCGCCCGATCACGCTCTCGGGCGTCTCCGGGCCGCTCATCTTCACGCGACAAAACGATCTGGCGAGCCCCACGATCATCTCCTGGGAGATCGATACCACGCAAAACCCACCACAGTTCACGCGTGGCAACGTCATCAAGGAAACGAACTGATGCCGAAACACCCCCTCGGCATCCTCCTGCTCGTATCACTCTCGCTCACCGCAGCATGCCAGAAGGACGCGAGCCAGGGCGAGGAACCGATCGCTCGCGCCGATCAACCTGTCGCGACATCGACTGGCGAGCCCGCGGGCGCTCGCGCTGGCAACCCACCAGCCACCACACCGGAGGACACCGTGAGCGAGCAGGAAACCGTCACCTACGATGACGCCATCTTCGAAATCGACCGCGTCGCGGGAGGCAAGCGGTTTCAAGGGAGCTGGCTCCTGCTCCCTGGTGGTCAGGAGCTGTTGCTTTCGTATCGCCCGATGCCCGAGCACTTCGACCTGCTCGGCAAGAAGGTCGTCGCCACCGGGAAGCACTACACCAACCCTCCTAATATCCAGTCGATCGGCGCCGATCACTTCGAGCTTCACAGCATCGAGGCGGCCCCCGGCGTCAAGCCGCTGTCGCCCAAGCCAACCTCGCTCCCGGCGCCTCCTATCGTGCGCGACGAGAAGTCCTTTCGGAGCATGTTCCGGCGCTGGGTCCAGCTTCGCGCCAAACTCATCGGCGAGTCCGAGGGCAATGACAAGGAGGACTCCTGGATCGAGGTCGTGCTCGAGCTGGAGGATGGCACGAAAATCCACGCCAACTTCTACAAGCTCACCTACGAGCGCGAGTTCGCCAAACTCGAAGGAAAACAGATCTCGACCACGGGGCGCGCCTGGTCCGAAAAGCTCGAGCGCTGGACCCCGGACAAGCTCATGGAACCCGCGACGCTCGATGGCGATCCGCTCGATGAGAAGAAGTCCGAAAACGAGGAGAACCAGAAGCCCGAGAAGTTGATCCTCGGCGGTAACATCTCGCTCTGCGAAGGAGACGTCGACGGCTGTGGGATGGCGAGCAACGCCACCAAGCCGGGCATGAAGAAGGCGATCCCCAAAAAGATCAACGAGTGATTCTCTCGTGAACCACCGACGGTGGCCCGCAAAAGCAAGCCGGCGCGACATTTCCCAACCTGGTGCATGACGCCACACAGGTTGGGAAATGTCGCGCCGGCTTGCTTTTGCTCGGCAGCAACGCTGGCAGACTATCCTCCCAGCAGCGCCTCGATGCGCTCGCGAACGACCGGGAAATCACGCACCATACGCAGCGTCAGCTCGGCGTGCCCTGCTGCATAGCCGTTGCCGATATAGAGATCGACATCGCGCCCCACCCCTTCGCAACCGAGCGCTGCGCGCGCGAAATCAGTCGCCATATTGAAGAAGTACACGCGGCCGCGATCGGCGCACGGCAGGATCGCGGACATCTCGACGCCGCTGATGTTGCATGTGTTCACGACGAGCTCGACAGGTTCCCCGCCGGTCATCTCGAGCGTCTTCTCCAGGACCTCGACCGCCGAGCGAGCATCGCCCGTGCGATAATCGTCGATGATCCCGGCCTCTTTCAGCGCGATGGCGTTGCCATCGTTCAGGTCAAAGGCGTAGATCTCGACCTCATCACCGAGCGCATCGCGCGCCGCCGCCGCGCACAGCATCCCGGACTTCCCGAGCCCCAGCACGAGCACGCGCTTTGCGCCCTGCACCAGCCGCTGCGTCTGGGCCGGAGCGCCGCACACATCGAGCGCGCTGAGCGCGAGGCGATCAGGCAAATCATCGGGCATCGCTACGATCGGCGAGGAGGGCCACAGGTAAGCCGTCGCGGTCACGTCGACCTGATCTGCGTCGAGGTGAACCTCGTGGATCGCCTCGAGCTTCATGGGCGTGAGCGTCAAGCTCACCAACGACGCGACGCGCGCGCCGGGGACGATCCCATCAGCGCTCGAGTGATAATCATCGCCCACGCTCTTGACCGTCCCGAGCAACATCCCGCCGCTGCCGGTGACCGGGTTCTGCATCTTGCCACGCGCGGCGACGATCTCCTGAATGCGCGCCGCGACCGCGTCCTTATCCTCGCCGACGTCCCCCAGGATCTGGTGGAAACTCGCCGAGTCGATGTTGAGCGTCTCGACATCGATGACGACTTCGTTGGCATAAGGGGCGGCGTCGGCGTCCAACCGTAGCGCTGCCTGAGGCAGCGCTCCAGCGGGTTCGAGCACGCGGTGCAGTCCGAGATCATGAGGTTGTTTTTCTGACAATGTCGACTCCGTATCGCTGATCATAATGAGTGCGGGCGCGGGATAAATTCTTATCCCGCGCCCCTCCTCGGTCATCGAAACTATCCGAGGTTACTTCGAAGGTTGCTCGAGACCGAGGAGCTTCATCACCTTCTGGAGATCATCCCAGGTGCGGCCCTTGTCTCTGCGATCGCCCTCTTGCTGGCGACGCAGAAGATAAGCGGGGTGATAGGTCGGCATCACGGGGACACCGCGCCAATCATGCCAGCGCCCACGCATTCTGCCCATCGACTCTTCGATCCCGAGCAGCGTCTGCCCGGCGAACTTCCCGAGCGTGACGATCGCGCGCGGCTGCAAGGTCTCCAATTGCTTGTACAAAAACGGCGCGCAGTGGCGAATCTCTTCGGCCTCCGGGTTGCGGTTGTTTGGAGGACGGCACTTGACCACGTTGCAGATGTAGACCTCTTCACGCGAGGTCCCCATCGCCTTGATCATGCGATCGAGCAGGTTGCCCGCGTTCCCGACAAAGGGCCTCCCCGTCTTATCCTCGTTAAACCCTGGACCCTCGCCGATAAAGACGAGCTGCGCGTTGGGAGAGCCCTCGCCAAAGACGATGTTGTTGCGCTTTTGCGAGAGCTTGCAGCGCGTGCAATCCCCCAGGCATTGGCGCAGAAAGTCGAGCTTTTGCTCGTTATCCATTTGCCCGAGGCGCTTGATCTGCGAGGCGGTCTTGTCAAACCCAGGCAACGGCTGCGCGGAGCGCGTGGGGTCCTGGCTCTCGTCCCACTCCTCGCCAAAAAGCGATGGAGAAGGATCACCACGTCGGATCACCTCGGTGAACTCGCTCTCCTGGCTCTCCTCCGGCGCAGGCGTCGGGTTCGATGTAGCAGGTCCGCTCTGGCGCGTGCCAGACATCGCAGCGCGACCGCTTTGATCTCGTTCGGGGCGACCTCCCGGTCGCTCCTTTTGCTTTGATGAGCGCGCTGGCTTCTCGGGCTCCCCCTTCTTGAACAGCTCGACGGGGCGAGAGCCGAACTGCTTCCAGATGGCGCCTTCGCCACCAGATGCGATCTGAGGAGCAGCGGCGGGCTTCTTCTGCTCTCTGTCGAGGAAGGACTCGCCGGGCTTCTTCGGGACATCGCGCTTTGTCGGCGGGTCCTGCGAAGCAGCGGTCGCAGGTCGCTCGCGATGTTCGGGAGCAGCGGGCCTGGATGGAGGTCCCTGTTGCGCGGGCGGTTGCGGTCTGCTCTGGGTCTGTTCTTGCCCGGCGCCATCGTGGAGCGAGGAGCGAATGCGATCGAGCTTTGCTTGCTCGCGTTTGCTCTTGTGCTCCTCCCAACGATCGCGCTGTTCCTGCGGCGCCGGCGAGAGCCCGCGCACACCCGCGGCGCGTTGCTCCTCGATATAGCAACGCAGCATGTGGGTCACCCACCTGAGTTCTTCACGCGCAGTCGTCATCCTTAAAGCTCCTCATCGCGTCGAGAGGTCGCGTGCGACCTCCGTCCAGATCCTCGCCGCGATCTCGTCCTTGGTCGCGGGTCCGTACTCGATGACCCCTGAGTCGGGGTCGTGATGAATCATCGAAATGCTCGAGACATCGGCACCAAAAGCGGAGTTAGGACCTCCGATCTTGTTGGCGACGAGCCAGTGCGCGCCCTTGCGCGCGAGCTTGGCCCGGCCTCGCTCGACGACATCGTGTGATTCAGCACCATATCCTACAATCAATGGCCCTGAGGTCTTCCCCGGGCCATATTGTTCGCCGAGCGTCGCGAGGATATCAGGGTTGCGCTCGAGCTGGAGCGTCCCATCCATATCCCCCTTGGAGCGCTTCTTCTCGGAAGGATTCGCCGGGCGCCAATCGGCGACCGCCGCTGACTTGACGATCACGTCCTGCTTTTCTGCGCGCGACATCACCGCGTCATACATCTCGCGCGCTGTCGTCACGCGCATGACCTCGACGCCGACGGGGTCCTCGAGCCAGGTCGGCCCGCTAACGAGCGTGACCCTGGCGCCCATCTGAAAAGCTTGCGTGGCGAGCGCGAAGCCCATCTTGCCCGTCGAGGGGTTGGAGATAAACCTCGCAGGATCGATATACTCGCGCGTGGGACCGGCGGTGATGAGCACATGCTTTCCTCGCAGTGAGTGCGGCCCCGCAGCGCGCAGCACACCCGAGACGAGGATCGGAGGATCAGGCAACCTGCCTGGCCCGACCTCCTTGCAGGCGAGCTCGCCGGAGTCTGGCGAGATCATCAGATAACCCATCTCCTCGAGCTCGCGCATGTTCTTCTGAACGCGTGGGTGCAGGTACATCTGCGTATTCATCGCGGGCGCGACGACCACGGGCGCAGTGGTCGCCAGCAAAATCGTCGAGAGCAGATCATCAGCCATTCCAGCGTTCATCTTGGCGATCACGTGCGCCGTGGCGGGCGCGACGAGGATCACATCGGGCCAACGCGCCAGCTCGATGTGTCCGATCTCGGACTCGAAGGCCACGTCGAACAGGTCCACCCCGACAGGGTGATTGCTCAAGACCTGCAACGTCATCGGGGTGATGAACTGCTGCGCGCCGCGCGTCATTACGACGCGCACCTCATCCCCGCGCTTGACGAACTCGCGCACGATGTGAGCGGCCTTGTAGGCGGCGATCCCCCCCGAAACTCCGAGCAAAACTTTCATGGCTGCGTCCTCTGGCGCTGGGAGGGTTCGAGGTATTTCTCGATGGTGGTCAGGATATCGTGGCGATCGATCAGGTTGGTCATGTAATCGAGCTTGTCCGTGGGGATGATCACCAGCGGCGAGAGCGTGTAGCTCGAGATCCAGGACTCGTAGAGGTTGTGGAGGCGCTCGAGGTAATCGACCGGGATGTTTTGCTCCATCTGACGGCCGCGCATGGCGATCCTCTTCTGGACCGTGTTCACCGGGCAGCGCAGGTAGATCATCAGATCAGGAGGACAGATCTGGGTACGGATCGAGTCGTAGAAGAGCTTGTAGGTCTTCCAATCACGCTCGCTCATGATCTCGGTCTGGTACAGGTTCTGCGCGAAGATCTCGGCGTCCTCCCAGATGGTGCGATCCTGGATGACCGCGAGCGGCTTGCTCTCGAGGTCGAGGTGGAGCTTGAACTTGGCGGCCAGGAAGTACATCTGGCTCGCGAGGCTCCAACGCTCCATATCCCCGTAGAAGTCCTCGAGGTAGGGGTTTTGCTCGTTCGGCTCGAAGAATGGCGTGATGTCATAGCGATGACAGAGGAACTCGACGAGCGAGCTCTTGCCCGCGCCGATGTTCCCCGCCACGGCGATGTAATTGCGCACCTTTGGCGCTGCGCGACCTGCTCTGCGACGCTCACCACGCGGGCGCGAGGAGCGATCAAGCTCGATAATCTCGTAAGGATTCAGTGACTCGACATCCTGTCCCATGGGCTCGCTACCTCCGCGCTCACGCGATCCTCGACACGTCACATTCTTTGCTCATCGCTTCTATCAGCCCGGACGAAACGATCGCAAGCACGCGTTCCATCGCGCCACGACAAGAAACGACGCGCGACCGCGAAAACCAAGCGGATAAGCGACATCTTCTTATCGAAGCGAGGCGCTTTTACGGCTCGTTCGCCGTCGGTTCATCTCGAGAGTGATCGCCTGTGATGGATCGCAGGTGATCACTGCCTGGAGATCACCAGATCTGCGTCAGGAAGGGGTTGGTCTGCTTCTCGTTTCCGAGCGATGTATCCGGGCCATGACCGCAGTAAATGCGCGTGGCGTCAGGGTAGCCCTTGAGCTTCTCGAGCGAGGCGCGCATCGCGTTGACATCCGAGCCCGGGAGATCGACGCGGCCGATACTTCCAGCAAAGAGCACATCACCGCTGATCATCGTCTCCTGCTCTTCGAAGTAGAAGATCACGCTGCCAGGGCTGTGGCCTGGGGCGAGGATCACGCGCGCGCGGAGCTCACCGATCTCGATCACCTCGTCCTCTTCTAGCCACGCGTCCACGGCGGGCAGCGGATCGATCTGCATCCCGAAGAAGAGCCCCTGTTGAGGCGCTCCTTCGTAGAGCATCTTCTCGTCCGGGTGCAGGTATACCGGAAGATCCTTGACCCTTGACCTCGGAGATGGCCGCCACGTGGTCGATGTGCGCGTGTGTCTGGAGGATCTTTGTCAGCTCGAGTTCGTGCTGTGCGGCGAGCGCGAGGAGGCCCGCGCCATCGCCACCCGCATCGATGATCGCGCCTTCGCGCGTCCTGGCGCAACCGACCACATAGACGTTGGTCTGGAAGGGACCGACGGTGAGATATTCGACGATCAATTCACCCTGGATCACGGGCATGCTCTTGTCCTTTTTGCAGCAGGATAGGATCAGCAGGTCGCCAGGATCGAGATCAGATGGCGACCGAGCACACCATCGATACAGCATCGCGCAGGAGTTTGCGAGCGGCTCGCGCTCACCCCACGTTGCTCCAGATCACGCCGATAAAGATCGCCGCCATCACGACAAAGAGGATCACCGCGCCACCAGCGAGCACCCACCGCTTATCCTTGAGCGGCACGTTGAGGTCCGTGTCCAGACCTGCCTGCTCCTGCGCCGAGACCATCTGCGCGGGTTGACGGTTTTGCGGGTGCTGCTGCGCGTTGTCCTGTTGCTCGAACTGCCGCAGCTCGCTCGAGCTAAAGGACTGCGCGATGTCGGTGTTCGAGATTTGCGGTTTGGTGCGCTCGCGCGTGTCCACATAGGAGGGCCCGACGACCTTCGGGGGGTTCTGGGAGGGAGAGGAGGACGCCGCGCCGAGCTCGGAGGATCGAGCGCCAAAATCGGGGCGAGGAGGTCCGGGCTTCCCCCAGGAGTTCTGAGAGACGCTCGGGTGCCCTCCGCTCGCGCGCGTCGCGCGACCCTGAGCGTTGTTCGGCCCGGACTTTAGCGGGGGGCGAGGGTGTGTCATCTCTCTGCTGTCGGCGAAGCGACTGAGAGGGACGTGTTGGAGGGTGGCCTTGTTATCCTCGGGATCATCGTCCTGGAGCGTCTTCGCCTCGTTGATCTGTTTGAACAGACTCTGGAGGCTGGCGATGTCCATGGGCGCCTTTTGGGTCGGGTCATCATCGATCGGATGCATGCCACCAGTGTTTCTGCCGAAGTCAGCCGGCATCTTCATATTCTGGGTGGTCATGTTGAGATCTTCGGGGTGATCTGTGCGCGCGGCGTCCTCGCGGCGCAGGTCCTTGAGGAAGCCCGTGTCGACCTCGAGCGTCATGGTGTCATCGCCCTCGTCAGCGCCCGGTGGAATGGGCACAGAAAGCCGCGGCTTCGGCGGACGCGCCTGCTGCTGCTGAAAGACCTGTGAGACCCGTTGGTTCTGACTGGGATCGCGCTCGGTGGTGATGGCGCCGGTATCGACCATGGGGAGGTCTTGCGCGGTGTCTGCGCCCGAGTTGTGGTTCTTCTGACCAGGTTTTGACAGGAAGGAGTCGTTGCGCAAGGCCTCGACCATGACCTCTTCGGTGCGGTCGATGGCGACCTTGTCCGCGCCGATCGCGTAATCGAGGATAAACGCGGGCACCGAGATCGTCTCGAGCGTCTGATTGCCGTCCTCGTCGCGCAGCGCCACGAGCGCTGCGGTGAAGTCACGAATGGTTTGGTAGCGATCCTGAGCGCGCTTGTTCAGGGACCTGAGGATGATCTTCTCGAGCTCGGGGTGGATCTCCCGGTTGAGCGTCGAGGGAGGCGTCGGCTTTGCCTCGACCTGCGCCATCATCAGCGAGTACTCGGTCGAGGCGTTAAAGGGCACCTGCCCGGTGCAGAGCTTGTAGAGGATGATCCCGAGGCTGTAGATATCAGCACGCCCATCGATGTTCTTGGCGCCGACGATTTGCTCGGGGCTCATATAGTGGAGCGTCCCGACGGTGGTCCCTGTAGCCGTGAGGTTCTTGTTTCGGCTCAGCTTGGCGACGCCGAAATCCATGACCTTGGGACGAAGCACCCCACCCTGGCGTGTTATGAGAATGTTGGAGGGCTTCAGGTCGCGGTGGATGATGCCTCGCGAGTGCGCCAGACCGAGCGCGGAGAGCACAGGGATCATGACCTCGACGATCTCATTCATCGGCAGCGGGCCGCGCTCCTGGAGGTGTTCTTCGAGGGTGTAGCCCTCGATGTATTCCATGACGAAGGCGAGGTGAGGTTGGTTGACGAGCTCGTAGACACGCACGATATTCGGGTGCTGGAGCAGCATCTGGATGCGCCCCTCGTCGACAAACCTGGCGCGCACGACGGCGTTGTTTTCATAGTGAAGATAGAGGCACTTGATGGCGACCTGATTGCCGGTGCGATTATCGATGGCGAGGTAGATCGTAGCCATCCCGCCCTCGGCGATCGGCCGAATCACCTTGTAGTGATTGGCGACGATCTGGCCGGGTCTTAACTCATCCCCTCCTTTTCGCTTCTTCGCAGACGCCATATGATGTGTCGAGGCCTTATGCCTTCTGTCGCGATCGATTGTAAAGGAAGTCCAACGTAACGGAAAGGATGACGAATCAGCTCAAAACCTACCCCGCGCTCGTGATCCTGCTCGGTGCAGTGGGCGTCGCTGCGTTGGCCGCGATAGCGATCGCAGCCAGCGACCGAAGCGGCACGCGCGCGTCATCCGACCCCCACACACAAGAACCTCCATCTTTCAAACCATATACCACAGACCAGAAAGACGCGAAGAAAACGCGCATCCACGCCGATCCTTCACCGCGAAACCCCAGCAACGTCACAGAAAAGACAAGCTTGGCGCCGACGCCCGAGACGCAACCCTCGCTCACCGCGCCCTCGAACACAGCGACGGCAGGCTCCGAACCACGCCTGGCGGAGGTCATCGTCGTGGGCGGCGAGGATACGCCCTTCGGTTCAGCGGACGCGGTCCCGGAGAGGCGCGACACCCCGAGCGAGCCCGTCGTCATGGGACCCGAGCACTGGCGCGCGACGCTCCCCTACGAGTCCAAACAAAAGCTCGACGTCGAGGTCGAGCAAAAACAACGGCTTGTGAACGCCGCGCTCGAGCGCCACGTGCGCGAACACGATCTGCGCCGCGCCGCAGGGTTGATCGTACAAGAGCGAAGTTGGGGTTGTTATCAACAGCTCCTGCGCAGCGAACCTGACGCGCGCGGCCGCATGCAGGTCTCCGTACAGATTGTCGGAGAAGAGGGCGTGGGGCGCATCCAGCACGCGCGCATCAAGTCCTCGGTGTACCTCAAGCAACCCTCCCTGCATGACTGCATCGTGCGCAGCCTGATCGGCGCGACCTTCGACACGACCGCGCAATCACACACGATCCTCAACACAGAATACCCCGTCGGACTCCCCACGCTGGAGCTCTGAACGCGGCCGGACACGCTCGAAAAAGTTGTCTGACTTCCTCGGCGATCTATCCTGATCGGGCATGCCGCGTGGTGCGACACCCACAGCGCATGTAGGTCAAGGTTTGTTCGGAGTGATGTTTTGCGAGCAGCGAGCATCGCCCCGCTATGGCGAGGAGAGTGACGACATGCACCCATGGATGGCGCAAATTCACCCAGGCTTTCGCACCGGGCTCATCGCCTGGTTGATCGCACGCGCGGGCATCCTGACGATGCTCTACAGCAAGGGCGCCCTCGCGCCCTCGGAGCTCGACCCGGCGGGAGCGCCCCTGTGGGGGGCGCTCGTGATCACGACCCAGGTCATCGGGAGCTGGGCTGGTTGGGCGATGCTCGCTGCTGGCGAGATCGCGATGCTCGTGGCGATCCTCTCGGTCTATCACTTTTGCAGAAGGGACACGCTGCCCCAGACCGCCGATCGCGCCGCGTGGTTGGCCGCGCTATCACCGATCGCCGCGGCGCTCATCCCCGTCAACGCGTGGACCTTTGCCGCACCCGCCTGCCTGTGCGCGTTGGCTGCGGCCGTGAACGCCAGACATATCCTGGCGCTCGGTTGCATCACGTTAGCGATAAGCCTTCGCCCCGAGCTGGTGTTGCTCGCGCCCGGGGTCGCCATGCTCGGATGGCGTTCACGCCAACCGGGCAAGACGCCGGAGTGGGCGCCCTGGATGTTGGCGCTTGGACCTGTGGCGATCCTGACGCTGACGATCTTTGCCTCCTTTGGGCTCGCTGGGATGGGAGGCATCTCGATGCGCACCTTGCACGTCGAGGCGTGGCGTCAGGGGATCGTCTGGCAAGGGATGGAGGATGTGGTGTTTGTGCTGGGGATTTTCGTCGCGGTGGTTTGCGCGGCGAAGTTCGCAGGTCGCACGCCAAAGAGCTGGGTGTTTTTGACGTTGCCTTGTTTGCTCTGGCCGCTGGCGCATCAGCACCCTGGCGAGTTCGCGCCGATGGCGTTGTGTGCCGCGCCGATCTTTGCCTACGTGGCAAAGATCGGCGAGGAGCCAGCGCTCGAGAGGTTGACGCTCGCGATCTCGGCGATGTTGCTCTTGATCATGCTCTGACGCGGCGAGCGTTTGCTCAGCGCTTGGTCGCGAGCATGACGCGGTTGCGGCCGTGGTTTTTGGCTGCGTAGAGCGCGGTGTCGGCGGCCTCGATGAGATCCTCGGCGCTGCCGACAGGGATCTCGGGGAAGCCTGCCACGCCGACGCTGATGGTCACGGGCATGACCTCGCCGCCATGTTTGAAGTCGGTGCGATCGACCAGGCTGCGCAGTCGCTCGCCGAGGTGCGCGGCCTGCCCCATCGAGATGCCACGACAGATGATCGAGAACTCCTCGCCGCCATAGCGCGCGAAGAGATCCTCGCCGCGCACGGACTCGACGGCGAGCTCGGCGAGCTTGACCAGCACCGCGTCGCCCGCCAGGTGTCCCCACGTGTCGTTGACGTTCTTGAAGTGATCCACGTCAAACATCACCAGGCTCAATGAAGAGGCGTGGCGCGCGGCGAAGGCAAACTCCGACTGGAGATGATCCAGGAAGTACTTCTTGTTGTACGCGCCAGTCAGGCTGTCGCGCAGAGCAGCATCGAACATCTGCTTCTGGAAGTCTTCGTCGAGCTTGTCGTGGTAGGTGAACTTGAGGATGGTGGTCGAGCCGAGCGTGATCTTGTCGCCATCACGAAGCTGGAGGCGGTTGGTCAACCGATCCCCGTTGAGGAAGGTGCCGTTGGCGCTCCCCATATCTTCGATGAAGACCGAAGCGCCCTCGCGCACCACGCGCGCATGTCGCCTCGAGACGCCGACATCGTTGATGCGCATCTCGGTCCCCTGTGAGCGCCCCAGCGTGACCTCGAGGCCATCGATCTTGTGCATTCGGCCCACCTCGGGGCCGGAGAGCACGATCAAATAGGCCTGAATTTGCTGCTGGCCCTCAACCACTTGCTTGAGCATGTTCGTGTCGACGATTTGCGTCGACTCCGAGATCTCGTCGAGTCCGCCTGGCTTGATCCCCGTCCCATGGAACTGATCGTCGTTCATGATTTCTTACGATTCAGTGTGGGTGAATGCGCTCCCGACACATCACGCGTCATTCGGGATGCGGGGTGTGAGCGCAGAACAGTCTGTTGACTCTAAAATCATAGACGAGTTGGCCGCGCTTGTCACGCGCTCACTCCCCCTTATAAAGCCCCGGGATCAGAGGTGCTTTCGAAGCTCTCGCTGCATGACCGGGTTGGTCTCCTGCGCTTGCACCTTCGCGAGCAACGCTTTGCCATCCTTCCCCGTGTGTTTCCCGATGGCGCTGACCACCGTCAGGCGGATCTGAAGATCGCTGTCCTCGGCGAGCAAACGCTCGAGCGTGGCGAGCTCTTTCGCCTCGCCAGCCTTGGCCAGGCTCATGATCGCGTGATGCCTCAAGGAGCCAGCAAAACGCAGCTCTCCCTTGGTCATATCCTTCTTCGTGACCACCGGAGAAACCGCCACACCGCGCAACCAATCGCGCGTCGCGTCATCGGAGTAATACCCCAACGCGTCGACCGCGCGCAGCCTGTGCAATGGGCGCGTCTTCTGATCCCTGGCCATCTCCAGGAGCATCGGCGCGATCACCTCTGGCCCCGCGAGCTTGTCGAGCTCATCGCGGTCAGGGAAGTACTCGTAGCCGCTCAACATAAACGTCAGCCGCTCCTTGACCTTGGCCAGATCCTTCTCGGTGGGGTCGCCCACCACAGGCACCGGGTCATCCTCGACGATCACCTTCCCGGGGTTGCCCTCCGTGTCAGGCGCATCACCTGCCTGCTGCGCCATGACGCCAGGAGCCCACAATGCACAGGCGGCGGCCAACGCGAGCGCCGAGGCTTTTGCTTTCTTTACCATCATCTCTTCTCTCCCATCCTTATCTTTAGCGAACGCTGTCGCCTTGCTCTCGTTCCCTTGGACGCGATGCGAGCGCGTCACATTCACTCGCGCTCAGGGGCGCACCAATGGATTGTGCCTGAGCACGAAGCCCTGTCCTGCCGAGGCGCCCGTTTGCTGGTCGCC